TTCATAGAGACATATTTGAGCCCATATCACCTAGGTTTGCAAAACTTAACTTAGTTGCTTAGTTAACCTTGCACCTCACCTTGCCTAGCAACTTAGATTAGTTTTGTTTAAGTGCCATTAAGTTTTAAAACCGCCTATTCACCCCCCCTCTAGTCGGCCTCCTTGATCCTACACTTGGTTCCGGCGTACGATTACGAGGATGACGGCCTGGATCTCGGGAATCCTGTCGTCGTCTTGCACTGTTGTCTCGGTGCCGATCTCCATCGTCGTCGTCGATACGGCGGCGGCCATGACCAGTATTATCTGGCCCCCGTCGTTCTCGATCGTTGTGATCGTGGTGATTGCCGTGGTCCCGGTCCTCGTTTGAGCGATTTCCTCGATTTCTGTTATCATGGCGCCGTGAAGAGACATGACGCCGAGAGCGATTCACGTTGTCTCGTGTGCGTCGTGCTTCCCAGCGGCCGTTGATTTGATCTCGAAGATCGCCAGTGCCGCGAGGTGGAGGGGTAGCTTGTTGAGGTGATTCCCTCCATTCCGGATCTTCACCATTGGCCTCGCTAGTTGGTGGCTGCTCCTGGTGTGCTGCGGTAGCGGCTTCTTCAAACGCGTTGCTGAGGTTAGTCACCGATTCCCGTAGTCGTTCTGTCCAACGCTCGAGGTCAACGTTCAGAACGGGATCGTAGGGAGTTTCCCTCAGTATCGCTTGAACGGCCCTGATGTGCTGGGCTGGAGTAGTCGATTGATTCCCCGCTACTGTGTTGGCGTGCGCTGACGTGCCAACGTCATCGATAGCCAATACCTCCCGCGGCGCGCTCGTTGTCGATGACCCATAGTCCTCGAGGAGATGTAAGACCGATGGTTCGTGAGGATCGATATCGATTACCCCAACGAATCGATCTGAAGTTGGAGTCGCTCCTTGTTCCTTGCCGTTATCCCTGATGGGGATATATGACTTAGGAGACTGAGCTTTCATGGCGCCGAGAAAGACTTTGCAGCTCGAGAGGTCGTGATTCTTTGTCTTGTGAATAGGACAATAGACATCCCGAGTTGGAGAAGTACGCTGAATTCCACGTTCTTTGCAGGCGCGAATTTCAGCACGGACGTTAAGGAAAACCCAGCAATCTTGCAGGGTGTGTTTCTTGGTTTTGTGGATAGGACACCAAGACCTTGTGGCTTCGGAAGTCATCTTTGTCGGCTCGTGGTTCATGTCGGAAGGACAAGGTTTGGCCGTATCAGAATCCTTCTTGAGCTTGGATGTCGTCGATATTCTGTTCTCCGTCTCGACGGGAGGATTTTTCGACATGGAATCGCCTTGGTTCGTAGCCACTGCGTTCTCGTCTACGGTCATTGGAGGACTGGTTGAGATCGGCGTCGTGGTGTAAACCGGGAAGACGATTTCGCCGACTTGAGTCCATACCAGCATTGTTGAAGCAGGGAGTACTTGGCTGAGGCTGGTGCTGACGTTGTTGTCGACGAAGTTGGATGACATAGTAGTAGAACCTTGAGTACCAAGGACCCCTACCTGGCGCGCCACTGTTGACGGGTGATACCCGTAGACCGGATATAGAGGGTATTGGAGTACGTTGGTACAAGGATCTACGTAGTACGACATCAAGCAAACAAAAGACAAGAATTATACTGGTTCAGGCCCCTTGATAGGTAATAGCCCTAATCCAGTTGATATGGGATTATATGGTAGAAAACAAAGGTTACAAAGAGAACAAGGGAACTTGTCGGATCCGGCGAGATTGTAGTCGAGTTGATTCGACTAGCTCTCGATGACTTGGCTCCTCGTAAGCTCCGGCTTCGTAGGCTGTGGAGGTTGTGTTGGCTCTGAGATTCGATGTCTAAACCCCCCCGGGGGCCTCTTTTATATAGCAGATGTGGAGGTCTCCTCATAGAACTCGGAGGTATCAGACCCTATACGATACGTCAACGACCCAGTTCTGTCCGAGTAGGATTCTTTTCATCTATAGATTCCGTGAAAGGTTTCCTTAGAATATACAGGAAATATCCGCATGCGCGTGGGTATGCCATATCGATATGTAACGTATATCGAAGGGCAAAGGGTATATCTAACCCGTAACCCTGACAGATTCGTCTTGCAAATTAGCTAAGAGGTTCTCCAAGTAGTTTTATACATAAACTTTATTAAATACTCTTAAATGATAAGAATTTTCAGGGAGCCCCTTAGATCCAAACGAGCCATGAGATATATATACGTCACTCTAGCATTATAGCCCATCATTTAACATATACTTATGCTTATAAAAAATAATTTACGCATAAAACTTGTACGAAATGATGATGCTAGTAGTTCTAAACTCAAATCTCGCCTTCGCCTTGTCGTCGGCAGATCAGATCAGGCTTCCGGGCGGCGTCAGCTGCTGCATGCCTGACAACTGCCACCGTACCTCACCGGGATGTATAGCCCTTGGTGTTCGTGAGCCACGTTGTCCCAACGCGCTCGACCACGCACGCATGGATTCGTGTACTGCACACACAAACACACGTACACGTCAAGTCTCTTGCGTCACCGGCCGAACCGATTGGACAAGAAAGCTTCTTCTCTGCTGAACACGGCCATTCCATGCCTATCGATGCATCGCTCCGCGAGAGGGCAAGACCGGCGGCGGCAGCTTAGCCAACCCTGTTCAGAATTTAGGCCCATCCATTACCGGGGATATTATTATGGGCCGATATTTGGGCCTTCAGGAGCAAGTGTTAAGTGGGCTCGGTTTGGCAGGGGCCCAATGAGAGATAGCTAATGTGAGCCTTTCCTTTTCTATGGGCCAGCTTAGAGAGGCGTGTGGCCCGCTTTTTTAAGTGTAGCCCAAAACTCAACTTTATCCCTCTCTCTTTTTAAGTGTATGCAGGCGTGTAATTTAATGTTATAAAATTTAGTCATATGGCGAAACGATGTTAGTCATTAATAGCCTAAGAGACGCCATATAACGATACATAAACACGTGCTATTGTTAGAGCAGGTACAATAGCAAGCTATAAGCCAGCTGCAAACATATTTTAAGAAGATGAATAAGGAGAGAGAAGAGCAGCGGGCTACAGATTTGTAGCCAGCTGTAACACGGACTCCAAGACACAGTGTGTGTATGGCAGGTGGGACCAGATATTAATAGTGTAGTATTTAACTATTATATGAATGAGCTATTAGATTGGCTATAGATGAATTGGAGCTAGTAGTTGGCTATACTATTAAACTTGCTCTTAACAAAATTCAGCTGAAACCTACATTTTCGGAGCTCTGATTAAAGACACTCATTCCCAATCAATATAGTACTCCCTCCGTATTTTAATGTATGATGTCGTTGACTTTTTAATCAACGTTTGACCATTCGTCTTATTCAAATTTTTTGTGTAAATATAAAAATATTTATATCATGCTTAAAGAACATTTGATGATTAATCAAGTCACAGTAAAATAAATGATAATAACATAAATTTTTTAAATAAAACAAATGGTCAAACATTGGTTAAAAAGTCAACGGAGTCATACATTAAAATACGGAGGGAGTAGTACCTAGTCTCTAAGAGTGCAAGTATAACCAAATAAAACTAGTATATTAGACATACTCCCTCCATCCCAAAATGTTTGACACCGTTGACTTTTTTAAAAATGATTGACCGTTCGTCTTATTAAAAAAATTAAGTAATTATTAATTCTTTTTCTATCATTTGATTTATTGTTAAATATACTTTTATATATACATATAGTTTTACATATTTTATAAAAGTTTTTGAATAAGACGAACGGTTAAACATGTTTAAAAAAATTAATGGTGTCAAATATTTAGTGTAGGAGGGAGTATATTCTAACATTTGGTGCCCATTCAGCTGGAACAAAAAGAAAATGCAGTTTGAGAGTAGGATGTAAATTCTGTCCTAAGATGTCCAACGTATTAACTTGTACGTACATAGACTAAGCTGAACGAAAATTGTATTATTATTTTCCGGGGGCATAAATTGATAAGCATATAACCTCCACCACTTAATTTATCCACAGGAATGGCTACACGAGAGCATGCTCAATTTCAAATGCACTTAAATTCTTCTACGAACGTAAAATCCAACGGATACCGAACCAAACTACTCTCAAAAGCGCACAACGTTAACCTGCCCAGAGAGAGATCCGTAGAAAATTAATTTGGTTCATTACTAGGATCACATGTATGGGCAAGACCGAGGTAGCCACCACCGATTACTTTATCACCGGCACGGCACAAACAAGAACCGGAAGCTCAAGCCCGGATCCAGAGCTGGTAGTAGTAGGTAGGTAGGTTCCATGTGAGGCAAAGCCGGATCAGATGCTCTGTTCCTCCCATCCGCTGTATAGTACCTGAAAATACTTTATACGCCGCTCTGCTCAGCTCCTCCACTGCGTACACGAAAAATCAGCTTGATCAATTACTTCTGTGACAGATTCCATTCCCAGATGTTCATCTCCAATATATGGGTATGCCAAAAATCTGAGTATATGTTTTCAATGTACTGAACGGATTTCTATCCAAATTCGTAACAATATGATAGAATGTGTCACATTTCATATTAAGTTTATTTTCTATGGAATTGGAGTGTTTTGGTTCTTTTTTCTCTTTGGTTTTTGCAAGTACAAAGAGATGGGTGGTGATTGTGCAAACACAGTGTAGTACTACTAGGCAGTATCGATCGTCGTTTGGTGCGGTGTCGCTTCTGGCAGCGAAAACGATCGCTTGCGTTTGCATTGCACCCAGTAGATCTTCTTCGCCACGAGACGGACAGCGAAACATCGCTGGAATGCATGCAACAATTGCTGAGATCTACTGTGTCATCTACTACTGTGCATTGCACCGATCGACGTGCTGCTCAGGCTGCTGCCACTACCAACCTCTCTCGTGTTTTGGATCTGGCAGCAGTAGCGGCAGCGGCCACCCACACCTACTCGTACTTTTTCTAAGCATCAGTGGATGTCGTTATTGTGAGCCGTGACACATGCCCCAGATCCAGATCGAAAATTTTGAAATGATTCATGCGGTAGAATCCAATGGGAAAAAAAAAGTACACTCTAGTAAGTATATCACATAAATTACAAATACAAATCAACAAGAAATTTTATAACCCCAAAAAAAATAAGAGAAAGAATAAAGCCGATGGACATACAGAGCAGCACAACAATATCGGTACACGGTTCAATCGATCTCGATCAATTCGGATTCGGATTCGGTTCACCACTCCAGTTCAGTCATCGTGCATACGGCATGCATGGGCGATGCATTTGTTCGTCGTCGTCGTCGTCTCCTTAGCTTAGAGGGCGGCGAGAATGGCGCCGGCCAAGACACCGGCGGCGGCGACGACCCACCTGGAGACGGCGGTGGCGGGCGCGGCGGCCTTCTTGGTGGTGTCGTCGGCGGAGGCGTCGTCGGCGACGGGCGGCTCGGCGATCCCGGCGGACTTCTTGTGCTTCTTGGTCTTGGACTTGGACGGCGCGGGCGCCGGCGCCGGCGCGGGCGTGGGCGGCTTGGGGCCGAACAGCTCGTAGGGGAGCGGCACCTTGTCGACGGAGTAGACGGCGAGGGGGAAGTCCTTGCTGACGACGGTGGAGAGCAGCGCCCAGTTGACGCCGGTGGAGATGTTGACGTTGTTGTTCGACGGCTTGATCTTGTACTTGTACGGGCCGTCGGCGCCGGACGCCTGCGTGTTCACGGGGCCGCCGAGGGTGGTGAGCATGGCGAGGCTGTAGAACCGCGGGAGCACGCAGTAGAGCATCAGCTGGATCTGGTCCTGCGACGACAGCGAGTTGAGCGTGCCCGGCTTGAGCGCCGCGAACGCGGCGTCCGTGGGCGCGAACATGGTCAGCCCGTTGTAGCTGTCCATCAGCTGGCTGTTGATCTGGGTGTCCACCCGGCTCTCGTGGAGGAGCCGGAGGAAGGTGGTGTACTTGCCGGACTTCTCCAGCACTGCCGTCACGTTCGTCGGCGCGGGGCCGTCGGCCGCCGCCGCCGCGGGGCCGGGCGACGCCGGCGTGGCCTTCGTCGGCGTGGCGGCCTTCGGCTTCTGCGACGCCGCCAGCACCGCCGCCGTGGCGAGCAGCGCGGCGAGGAGGAGGAGGCGGGAGGACGCCATTGGTGGGTGGGTGGGTGTGGTGGCGAGGAATCGGACGAACGGTGGTGGAGGCGGCGATCTGAGAGCTGGGAGCAGTGCGTGTTTAATAGACTTATAGTGTGGTTGGTGGCGAGGGAGAGTGTGTGTGTGAGCGAGTGTGAGTGAGCGATCAAGGTGAGGTGGTGAGCTGGACGTGGGCCTGGAACAGCAAAGGCAGCGAGGCTCATTTCATAATCATAGCCAACTTTTCTTTTCTTCTCTTCTCTTTTTCTTTTTTTAGTTTATTGCGTGAGCTTAGATGTGATTTGCGAGCTACCTGAACCCAAGTGAAGCCAGCAAATGCTACAACATTTTCATTCCATTGCACATTTGCAGGTTTATTTCACATTCTTCACTAGATATCAATACTATGGCATGTAGCATAGTGGTTACATGGCATGTAGCATAGTGGTTACAGTACCCTGAGTAGCACTCCAAGATCTTGAATTCAAATCTTTATAGAAGCGAATTTTAGATTGGATTATTTAAAAGCTAAGTTCTTAATTTAAAAAGGCCAGGTAAAAAAATACCCTTTTCTCTTAAAAAAATCAATACGACAGAGATTGGAGATTCTTCTATTTCATTGAATACAGTGAAATACAGGACAAAGTAAAGCCATTTTTGTTCATGCCAACATCCATGTGGTTGCCTCCTCGTAAATTTGCGAATATATAAGCTCGTAGTGGATGTCTCTTTGTGCTAAAAACTCTTTGATTCCTTGCATTCTAAATTTCACACATGACTTGTTATATTTTATTGAATACAGTTATATACAGGACAAAATAAAAAAATACGTCCATAAAGTAGGCCATTTTTTCCATGCCAACATCCATGTGGTTGCCTCCTTAATTTTGCGAATATATAGGCTCGTAGCGGATGTCTCTTTGTGCTAAAAACTCTTTGATTCCTTTCGATCTAAATTTCACACACGACCAGAACAAAAATTTCACTGGATGATTGCACACCAGTTTGCATTCCCCTGCACTACGAGATTTTTTTTTTTTTTTTGCAGTGTGTATGCATTTGGCGGCCGTGGTAAGTAGTCTCGGCCGGGGAGGCACCTCTCGAGGGCGATGTTTTAACTGCCAGAAACTTGATCGAATATCTTCTTTGATGTACAAAACCAACTGTATCAAAGTACCCAAGATGCCTACAATTTGATATTATTATTAGGTGTGACCTGTACTACATACAAATGAATGATATGATCAGTCTCAACATTTTGTCGTCTGTTCATCTTGTATATTCAGGAAATGTGCATTCCAGTTAGGTTGGGCCACAAACCATGCATGCATGCATGCATTCATTCAGTTCATATATGTACATGTTGGCCCCATGATTATATACATTATCACTGCAATTTTCAACATCAGAGAGCAAAGAATCTATCACTAGAATTTTATATGTATGCTAATCATGCAGTGTCATATATACAAAACTGGAAGAAGTTTGCCACCGACAGTATAGTTGTAGTTCTACTGCAAGCTGGCCGTCCCTGTCGAAATATTGATCGTTTGACAGTGCCTCCGCAACGTTTCTGACGTGCGAGACTTGCAATATGAAACTACTCCACTTCAACTTCCAGGAGAGAGTTGAACCATACATAATTAATCAAATCAAATAATCAATGCAACTGTGCTGATTTTTTTTATATGTATCAGTAGCGGTTCAACCGATGAGAACATGATGGGTGTAGTGTATACTGTCACTGTGCCGTTGATCAATGGAGTTCTCATACAAATAAGACAGTATGCAGCTAGCTAGCAGTTTAATATCTGATCACCAGAATCTGTTCCACATTAAAGCAAACTTAATCCTGTTTAAGATAGCTTCTGGTTTGTAACTTCTCCTATAAAATCATCCTAGAATCCATGAAAGAACTATGTAAGACAAGTTGAAAGAACTATATAAGTAGCTAGCTAGCTAGTAAGAACTATATAATTCTTACTAGCTACTCTATATGTTCTAAAATGTAAATATTTTTAGAAATAGTGTAAGTTAACCATTTTTTATTTTGACTATTAATGGTAAAAATATAAAAAGATCAATAACTCTTTTTATTTAAAACATCTTACTTTAAAAGATATTGTTAGTGAAAATAACATCTAAAAATTGTGTCGAAGTTAAAAAAAACACTTACTTCCTCCGTTTCACAATGTAAGACTTTCTAGCATTACTCATATTCATATACGTATAGATTCATTAACATCTATATAAATATGGGTATGCTAGAAAATCTTTCATTATAAAACACAGGGAGTGTATTTTAGAATGGGGGAAGTAGTTGCCATTTGGCACCAGCTGTTTATCAGAACCTCTACCTCCTTGTACACACCCGGGCATTCACGCAGTTGCAGCAGAAGTACTATACTTTTCTTGGCCTTATTGCCGAATCTTGTAGATACATACGTGAACCCGGTCAATCACCAGCATGCAGACGATCAGAAAGAAGGAAGAGATATTGGCGACTGCGACGGCGCAGCGGCTCGGAAGCGACACCCGATCCATCCATCCATCCATCCATCCGGCCGCGTCGATTAATTTGGTGAGTATTTTTAGCTTCTTCTCCGACTCCGGTGCTCCATTGGTCCATTGGTAGATGAGGCGTTCTACAAATGATTTTTTAAGGAACACGACGAGTGTTTAAGAAGGTATCACCAGCTAAGCTAGATGCGTTTTCCTTCACTTTTTAAGCACGTAAAACATCTGATGCTAGATAGATAGATCTTGATGGCGCGAGAGATGCGAGAATAAAATAATTTGCATTGTTGTCGGATGGACAGGCGAGCACCCATACGTCGCCACTTGAACTAAAAACCAAATTGAATTTCCAGCTAGCTAGCCAAGGGGAAGCTTCAATTTCCAGACCAGGAACAGCGAGAGATCGAGAAATTGACTGCTCACCGGAACATGCTTGTGCTTGGCACCAAATCCGTTTGTCTTTTCTTAATCGCATTCCATGCAAAAAAATCACGAAATAAACGAGCCAGACATAGGACCTGTTTAGAGGAGTTTAAGATTCAAAGAAGTTGATAACCAGTTTCTGAGAATTTAGAAAAGCCCAGCTTCTGGTTTCTAGTTCATTTTCTTGATTCTACAACTACAGCTTCTTAGAACCTGAATCAAAAGCTAGACTGTTTTAGGAGATTCTAAAAAAAGCTGCAGCAACTAAAAACTCCTCTAAACAGGGCCGTAGTGATACATATATCCAGCTTGGCCCAGTTTGCACTAGATTGATAGAGTTGAGAGCCTTGAGGCCTTGCTAAATTCGTTTGGCCCAATGGGCCCATGATAATCTTGGGCTGGTTAAGGATGATCAGGTCCAAATGCAGCCCATTTTGGCCCAAATGCAACATGCCATTTTTATTGGTAAGCTTGGACCGCTAAAAATGCTTGTTCGATCTAGTCACCTACTCTGGTAAAATATTACAGATCGAAGATCTACGTAGATTTTTTACGAAAATGTACAGAAAAACATTTCGACTGCATTTCGTCATCCACTCTTCAAAACCACTGGATAAATTTGTTCAATCACAAGGAGAGAGAGAAGAATAAGGAGAGGAAGAGGAGTAGTTTAAGTTGCAGCAAGAACTACTCTTGAAATGCATCATGCACTCAGCCAGTAGTAGCCTCTGATCTCATATGCACCGACACGAATTTCTCATCTTACAAGAGGCAAGCGGCGGCCAGCAAGGCAGCCACGCCCCACCCGGCGGCCCTGGCGGCGGCGGGGGCGGCGCCGGCAGGGTGGTCGGCGGAGCCAGCGGGCGCCTCCGCGGACGCGCTGGTGTCCCCCTTGGCCGGCTTCTTGCTGGGCGCCGGCGGCGGGGACGGCGGCGGCTTGGGGCCGAACAGCGCGTACGGGAGGAGCACCTTGTCGACGGAGTAAACGGCGAGCGGCTGGTCGGCGCGCAGCGCGGTGCCGAGCGTGGTGTCGACGACGCCGGTGGAGACGTTGACCTGGTTGGTGGAGGTGGCGGTGATGTTGAGCGTGTAGGGACCGTCGCCGCCGGACGCCTGGGTGCGCACCGGGTTGCTCGCCGTGTCGAAGGCGTCCATGGAGTAGAACTTGGGGACGATGTGCGCCTGCACCAGCGACACCTGGTCCTGCGCCGACAGGGAGTTGAGCGTGCCGGGCTTGAGGCTGCTGAACGCGCCGTCGGTGGGGGCGAACACGGTGAAGCCGGTGGACGTGCCGTTCAGCTGGCTGTTCAGCTGCGTGTCCTGCTGCGTGCTCTTCATCAGCCGGATGAACGTCGTGTACGACCCGCCCTTCTCCAGGATCGCCGTCACGTTCAGCGCCGCCGCCGCCGCCCCCTTCGGCGCCGGCGCCGCCGCCTGCCCCATCGCCGCCGGCACCGCCGCCAGCGCCAGGCACACAGCCGCCGCCGCCACCAAGAACCTCCTCGCCACCATCGCCATTGCTCTCAGCTCAGCTCTGTTCTCACTAGTGTGAAGTAGTTAGCTAAGACAGATCAACGGCAAACGAGATGCCGTTATTTATATCCCAAGATCGAGCTGCATTTGTAGCTGTCGGCATGTGCGAGCCGACGTGGATGGATGAACAGTCTGTCATTAGTGTTGACCAAATGATGATTTGACTGACGAGACGAGATGATAGTAGTGGTCAGGAGCATAGATCAGGAAGGGAATCAATCGCAAATTTTCAGTACTGTTTTTGGTATTTGTTTTCTCCTCCAAGGTGCAGCAGATTTCAAGATGCAGATCGGCTTAGTTAGCATGACAGATCAAACCACTCGAGTTTTGAACTCAATTTTTTTCAGATGTATCGCACATGGGATGCTTCTCTGCCCCCATGGGAGCGAATTCGATGAGCTTTCCTGGGCAAATTCAACTGCACGCACGCCACGCATGCAGCTCACTGAATTCGCTCGGTCGGCAATTGGACAGAGCTCGCACAGGAAAGTCTGCGGTTTTTTGCACAGATCAACGGTTCGCAGCTCACATGATCCATCAGAAAACACATCAACTTGCAAATCAGTGTGTTACTGTAGGATAAGCAGCAAATGCGTTTTTATCTACTGCTAATTGTCAGTCATCTGTCTGCAGAGCAACGGTTAACTGCAGAGGTTTCAGGAGCCATGCATTTCAGAGTTTCAGACATTCAGGCTTGCACGATTCGAAATCGACAACTAGCACAATTCTGAGATGAGCTCAATTCTAGATTTCAGACAAACTTCCAGCTCCAACGGCAGCTAGCATCATCTACCGACACAAAACGGGGATGGTCACTCTAATGGTTGGTCCTTGTCAGCATCCGTTCGTACGCTTCGCAGCGAGCACGACGACGAGATGATGCGCCATGATTGATTGAGCAGGTAATTTTCAGGAACAGCATACAACTGTATGTATATGTACTCGCTCATCATCATGGAGAGCTGGACACTGAAGAGAAAGACAGGAGTTCGTTTGAGCCAACCGTTCCAGCTACGGGAATAATTCTTGTGATTTTTATTATATTGCCCATTTGCGACGGAGAGAATCTCTCCAGCGAATTGAAATTTGGACGATATGATCATATGAGTGTGTGCTATTGAGCCCATGCGCACTTCAGAATAAAGCCAGGTGCTAGGGGTGTTCTTCAGCTTTCTTTTTTCGATAATGGTTCTTCAGCTTTCTAGTTCACAGCAGCACACAGCTTTTCTTAAAATGAAATGCACTAAGATGATGGAAAAATGAGTAATACATCTCCGGCCTCTGTACTTAGTGCCATGCTAGTATTTCCGATGTGTAACGCGCAAGATGCAAAACTATGTTAAAGTTTGTCGCATGGCAAATTCTATTTTCCAAAAAAACAAAAAACAAAAAGAAATTTTATAGTATTTAAGAGATACTAACCTTTTATGGTGTTTGCATTCAAAAAGAGTAAAGATCCAACACTCCATAATAAAATGTACTATGGTATTTGAGTATTGGCATAGGCACTCAGGTACCAAGTAAAAAGATAAATTTGCTAGTAGAGAGGAAAGGAAAGAGTTGTCCGCAAATTCAGATCGGTACCGTGTCGGTACCAGTTAAGTTGTTTGTGTGGTACTAGTATTAAAGTTCTCATTTACGTGGTTTTCTATAGATTTACATTTTGATCCCAAGAACATGGTAGAACTCTTCCCATTAATTCTCCATTACATTATTTGCATAGTTATTTTGAGATTTATATTTTGTTCCCAAGAACATTAAAATATAACTCAAGGGTTACGCCGATTTAAGTTTTACATTCATGGAAAACATAAACTGTAGAGAAAATATACCTAATGATTGCATCCATCTGAACATGCTATGTCAGATTAACCAACAAGATATTAGAGCTTCTCTCTCTCAACCATGTCTCCTTACATGTTCGCCTATTCAAACCCTAGAAGAAAAACATAGGAGATCTCATTTTAGTTCCTTATACGAAGGAATTTATTAACTATGTAAATAACGAATCAATTGTGTAAATAGTATAGGAGCAGAGTAGATCTTATCTGATGCGATTGCGCCTAGCCGTCAATTGGTCCATCTTGAACCCTCAACTATGCTGATATTTCTCCCTTTGTCCTCTTCTAGTGGACCAATTCAAACCCTAGAACAAGAACTAAGCCAAAGGGTCGAAGAAAGGAGGCGTCGATCTCTTTTTTTTTTCCGATGTAGAACTGCAGATCGATCGATGCATTAAATTGTTCGAAAGATTTACTTTGTTTTCTACCTAACAATACTGGTGATTGGATCCAGGTATTCGATTCACTCAAAATGCTCATCGTTTAGTAGTTGATTACTCCATTGCTATTAGTTATGAAAATTTTATTCCATACTTGCCCCTCTTTTAATCCTCTTAATCAATGGTTCACATTGTTTCACCTCTCAATATCTCTAAGTACCTTGCAAACACTGTAAAAGGTCTCTAAAATTTGGTATCTCTTAGTACCGGAGGTATTGAGAGGTAATGTAAAATTTAGTATCTCCTAGTCCGAAAATACCGAGAGGTATCAAATTTTTACACGAAAAATATAGTACATACCAGTATCTCCTTATGAACTGGAAAATCACTAAAAAAATTCAAAGGCACAGTAGTAGTACTATTAAGAAAAACACTTGTGTTTGTAGGATGGTTTGGTGCTCCAATGCAGCCACAAAATCAACGCGATGTTCTACTGGGTTAATGGGATTCTGTACTGTACATGGGTGACCACTGTGCACAAATCCAATCTTCCATTCTTTAGTCTCTGAGAGTATCATCATGTGGGCTTCATTTCTTCTAAGATTGTAAGATCTCTCCTTGACCTGCGTAAACTAACTCGAATCGATCACTGCGGTTTTTCTCCTAAGGATTCGTCGTGGCAGCATCAGGGCGACGATGATCACGCATCTCTGCGCTGATGAAATTCTGCTTTCTGAAGTCTGAACCTACACGAGTAAAAGAATTGGATTCAGTCAGAAGCAGCCGTTGATTATGCGACTTGTTGCAGATTGCAATAGCATACGACAAGAGCTGAGACTGAGAGTAGCCGTTGCCTTCAGAATACAGAAACGGTAGCGTGATTTGCAGTGAAATTTACGTGGGTAATTAGGCCGGTATTGTTTACAATTAATTAAAAAATTCGTTGCAGTTTCATTTGATGTTCTGTAGGTTAGGTTAGTTGACCGGACCCCACTCAATTTGGGCTCTTTGCTGGCTGGCATTCAGAATTTCATATGACAAGTTGCACTAAATACAGAATTGCCGTTCTGATTAAATTAAGAGGATCTTTGCAAGAAAGTTCTAGAATCAATTGATTTCTTTTCTCGACAGTTCAAACTTCACTGAGAAATGTTAATTGATCACACTAATTTCTTTTTCTTTTCTCTTATCAGTTACACTGTAAACTAATAAATTATGTATACTGAACTAAGTATGAGCATCTTGTATGACCTGAAGTCAATATCCGTGGGTTTATTTTTCGAATGCGTGAAGCGGCAGCAATTTTCATCGCCCCCATGGCTTCTGTCTGTTCTTCAATGCTTGCCATGCAATTGGAGTATACTGATTACATCTACATCGACAAGTGGTTCGTCCACATGCTGGAGGGCTCTGAATTCCTAGCCATGGACGCCCGCTTGCTGCATAGGAAGGTTGGGATCCATATGCTTGTCCAGCCTGCAGGCAAGATGCAGTCGCAGGTGGCCACATGAATGACATGTCAGTTCAGAACGTTCAGATCCAAGGCTTTAGGTCAGGCAGGCAGAACTGCTGAATTTTATTATGGCACATGATGAATTGCTGCGTATTGCCTTGCTAATGCCTGGTTCAAATTGAAATCGGTATCACCTTATGAAATTTACTCCAAGTCACCAAGTGTAGCCCCACAAATCTACTAGAACTCGTTCAAACTTCAAACTGGGTTAAATTACCATCAAATATTCTGAGCTTGTTATACAAGAGAGCATCTCGGTTTGGCTAGGTTTGCCCCACTGGATTGAGGATTGCTTGAATTGACCATCAGATTTGTCGATGTTTTTGTCATCTCGAATTGCAACAGAGTTATAGGTGCGGAATCCTGTTGCTACTACAGTTTGATTAGTGCCAAGGATCAAACATTTTCCTACTGGCCAAAATTCGATAATTTTTACGGTGCAGTTGATATAACTTCTTGCCAATGCCAACTTCACATGATTTCGCTCACTAGTAGTTTGTAAGTGAATTGAAGATCACAACGATTTACGGTTAATTATTATTTCAGTGGTAGACGACGTATCTATCGATGGCGAGACGCTCGTGATGACTTCGTCGATTTCAAGATATACCGGTTCAGTCTTTAGGAGATGCTCATAGAGGTAGGTTGTGCGCGTGTTCATAAGGGTGAGCGTACGCACGTTCTATGATCTGCGTTTGTACTGTTTGTTAAAAGACGATTTAATCCAAGATGTGGTGCTACCAAAAAACTCCCAAAGTAATTTCTGAAGGTTAACTTGAGCCTCCCTGCAAAAAAAAGAAAGAGAGAAAGCTAACTTGGGCTCAAAGTATTTCTACCATTAGCTGGGCTAGTTGACTGGCCGGGCCCTCTAGCCCAGCAAAATATTTCATGGGCTACAAATCCACAAGATATAAAGGCTCAAATCCTCCAGTACCCATCCACCTGACGGCTTTCTCTTTCCCTCGAAAACCAAAACCAAAACCAAATCGCGGGAAAGCGGGCGCGGCGGAGATCGCCGCCGGTCGCCGGAGATGTCGTCGGTGGTCAACAAGCTCACTAACGCCGCCGAGAGGGAGTCGTCGGAGGCGGAAACCCTTATCGCGGTAAGAATCCCCACTCGGCTGCCCGCTCTCCGCTAAACCCCCAAAACCCTAGCAATCTCATCGAATCCCCCCCCAAAACCCACAGGAGATTCGCAAGGCGATCGGCGAAATGAAGTCCATCGCCGTCGATTACGAGAGGGAGAACAAGTCCGACAAGGCACGCGGCCTCTCCCCCCACATTAACCTCACGCGGCGTTGTGCCGCGGAAACCCTAAACCCATAACCACCATCGTTATCCTCTTTTGCAGGTGAAGCAGCTTGAGGCGGCGGCGCTGGAACTGGTTGCTTCGTGCGAAGATTGCACGTGCTACGCCGACGCGATCCGGAAGGTGCCTGGGGCGTACCAGCCATCTAATCAGGTGCGGACTCTGGTAGCCGCGATGATTATTTTTTTGGTTTCAGGGGCTTATTCGAATTGTATTGGAGGAATTTCGGCTAAATGGTTATTTGTTGTTTTGGTATTGATCACTGAATTTGTGTCAAGATGACGGATTTCGAAAAGCTGATCGAGGCTGAGGTTAACAAGGTCAAGGGGAACTCATCAACATCAGTAGAGAACCATCTGCTCATTCGGCAGTTCAGAGAGGCAGTTTGGGTATGTTCCGTGGACCCTTTGTGTTTTGAGAGACTTGGCAATTTTCTATGCGGTAGATCAGGAATTAGAGGAATTTACAAATGTTAATTCTCCCTTAGTGCTAATGGCTGTTGAGAACGGTATGGATTATGTACTTTTTTGCCTATATATTCACTGAGTTAGCTCGGTGCTGAACTATTGCTGAAAATGTTACATTAAAGATGGATTGAAATGACTGCAATTTTTAGTATGGTATCTCCAATAGGTCATGTTTGGAGAAAGTAAAAGGTTTGTGCATTACTTCTAATTATTTTCTCTCTCTGTAATTGTGTTGTCTTCTACAGAATGTTCACCATGCTGGCCAACCAATGCCTGGTGATGAACAGGAGGATGTTCTTATGACCAGTACCCAAACTAGCATCTTAAATGTCACGTGCCCATTAACTGGGAAGCCTGTAATTCAATTGACAGAGCCAGTTCGGTGGTAAGTGTTAAGCAGTTAAACTGTTAAGGCATGGTTTTGTTTTGTAACTCTAGGAAATTTTTATTATGATATGTTACATATGCTAGATAGTTTCCTTCATGGTTGTTCAAAGAACACATACTCTCATTTTGTTTTTAAGCACAACTTAATGTCCCAAAAAATATCCATCATTAATCTGATTTCACCTGCTAAAGACCAAGTTTTTGTTGGCACAAATAACATGTCGCAAAGCCTTAGGATTATGTTTCTCCAATTTTCTTTTGCTGCCCAAGTTGAGATCATCAGGATCTGTTTCCTTCTCCATATGGTTTGCATCTTGCGGTAACAATGGCTTGTCTTTCTGTGAAAATTCCATGCAGTAGAACAAGTTTGCTGTTGTCACTGAATAATCATCATTGTGTTCAAAGTATAATAGTGTATAGCTTTCTGGGGGCAGAAATAGTGCGGTTTCTACCAGTACAATCCTTTCAGCCAATTTGACTATTAGGCATGATTCAAACTAATCATTCCCCTGTATGTAAGGTCTTTCTACAGTTTTACTATTCACATAATTGAATTCAAATCGGAAACTCCTACTACTTAATTTGCTTATTTTTCTCAGTCAAATGGATTTCTCCTAAGTTGTTGCATGTAGAAAGCAGTGTGAACATATATTTGCAGATATTCAGTTTTTGCGTTGAACTCAAGGCTATTTGTGTTGTTCAGTGCGGATTGTAGGCACATATATGAAAAAGTTCCAATTATGCATTACATAAGAAACCAAAAACCTCCGAAGTGCCCTATCGCAGGTAGGTCATTTGTTCGCTGCCTCATTGTTTATTTTCTTTTCACGGATGCTCATTTCAGATTGTATGTTCAACCAGGTTGCCCAAGAGTCTTACAAGTAGGAAGGGTTACCTGTGATTCCCTCCTCCAGGTTGAAATCGATGAATTACGCTCGTCAGGGCCTTCTGCTCCAGACGCTGAAAACATAGAGGATTTAACTGACGACGAGGATGACAGCAATGAATGAAGCTCTAGAAAATGACTGCCCTTTTGGATAATTATTGTAGCTAGGGACAAATTTAAACTTTTGCTGTTGTATTTGGTATGTTTTATGGGGAATGTGGTTGCTACGTCAGTCTGATCATCTGGCCCTGCTTAGCATCTGTTGATTCTGTTCCCCTCTAACCATTATTTGCACTACTTGTAGCCAATGAAACATGGGCAGCTCCCACGGCAAGATGTGAGTAAAGGTCCAATATTGTATCTGTCTCTCTCAAATCTCATATATTCAGTGCTGGAGAAACAAAGTTTCTGAAGAGCCATTTTCAATTGTCCGTTTCCAGTGCAGGCTTATGTATGATTTATGGACCCTTGGTACACAAATAATCACAACAGCCAGAGAACTAGCTAATAGAACAAACTGGGCCGTGGTTTGGGAAGACCGGCGTTTATGTTGCAGAAAGAATCAGAGGAAAAGATGGAATGAAACGTGGTCCAAAACCAAAGAGGTATTCTTCTACTCCACCCAAACTCTTATACCGCATTATATCTTCATGAATCATAGGCTTGATTCGCATAATTTTAAGAGCTTATTTAGTTGATGGAAACGATGATAAATTAATAAGCTAAGTGGTAGAAATACAACTAAATTTATAGTTACAAATCAGCGATCAGCACCAAGGTTTCAAAACATGAGGTCTCCCAAAGCCACCATCATGTTATACTGAACTCCGGTCAACATAGGAAAAGCATCACGTAAGATCAAAGCATGCTACTGACATTAATTAATGTTCTAACAGTACCAGCACCCTCTAATGCGCTTGTCATAGCTTACAGCTTATAAACACGTACTTAGATGGTTCCAGCGGCGACAAATGCCGCTGACAGTTAAAGTTGCAGAGGCAACAAATGCAGACGAGCAGCTAGGTACTATGTCACATGATAAGTGCTCCAACGCCTACATCTAAGATAAAAATATCAGAATCATCAGTCCCTCCATCTCCCTGATACTCGGCCACCATCTGGAGATCCACAGCAAAATCTGGAACAACGGCAAAACAATGATCATAACATTTCTAGGTAAAACTGTCACAGGTGAGGATTTTATGCCTTTGGAGTATCACTAACATGTGGTTGGAAGCAATCCTAGTGTTACTTCACCTCCAGATAATTTTGCAAATCCAGCTCATAAATCAGATCATCATATCCATAGTTGAAATATCAATCACCCTGCCAACAACAGGCCTTTGCTCATGAACCTGCAGAGCTTTTAGTTAAAAAGCAGTTTACATTACTGAGTGCATGAAAATTACTCATCATAAAACACTCACGGTAGCACAACTATTGCCCAGGGATTTTGGCACTTGCTTCAAAGACTGGAGTGAATAGTTGGCGTCGCCATCATCTAGTTCTTCTCTTGCTGGAACCTTCTCAGTCAAAGAGATGCCAAATATTTTGCAACTATTTGTGCCAACAGCTTTGTTATCTGGACCATCCTTTCCATGTCGACCAGGGGAGTGAGACTTCTCAACTGTAACCTGTCCATCTATCACTTCTCCAGAAGTAGGATAAGGCTGGAGTGGTATTCTTTGCTCTCTTCTTTCAATTCCTTCAGAAGGACCAAACCTAACACGCCTATCATTCTCGTGCTTGTCCAACTGTCCATGCCCAAACTCCAACCTGGGCATCTTTGAATTAGCTTGCTGAAACATTAGGACAGATGGCGGAGATGATGATTGAGATGGAAGAGCCAGTGCTGGTGGTCCATGAAAAGCAGCACGGCCATGAAGTTGTGCCTGCCATTTATTCACCACACCTGGTGCACGAGGACTATCTTGTTGATGAAACCCATTACTACCCATAGACGCATCAACCAAAGTTCCTCGGTAGGGACGAAATAATTCTTGACCTTGCAAGACCTTTTGGAGTCTGTGAGACTCCCCAAAGCCTGAGCAATGGTAGGAAAATCCTGGGTTTCCAAGTGGTGCTCTATCACCAAGTCTTGGAACCCCTAGGATACTGTTACTCGCATCGCTGGAGCAACTCCGCTCATCGATGTACTGTAAATGCCTTGCTTCACATGGCTGAGAAGTAGCAGCAGCAGTACCACCATGAGATTTAAAACCCAATAATTCTTGACCTTGCAAGACCTTGTGGAATTGGGCAGATTCCGCAAAATCAGGACAACCACCTCCACCTGACAAAAGGATAAATTAAATCGGCACAGTGCATCCAACAGAACCATCCTATTAACTGGTAATAGCTAGAAGAAAGACATACGTGGAACCATGTATTCTGGATTAACATGGGGAAGACATGGTTTCAATCGCTTTGAATGGGGTGTGGACAAATGGGATCCTGACACTGAACTAGTCAGCTCAATCTCCCAAGGAGAGACCCTGTTTGGTCGACGGAACTCAGCGTCGTCATCCCACCTCACCTACCAAGGTAGACATAGGTCGATAAATCATATACATATGGTCATAAAGAGGATCTGATTGCAATAATGGCTTTTACGGGACTTATGGTGTGGCCATGAGAACAGAATTATGTGCTCAAAAATTGAAATTTTAACTCAGGAGAGCCATAGTCTAAAAACTTTCACATGCCTAAGTACTCCTGGAAGGTAAAATTTCAAAAGAAGATCAAGCTAGCAGTGTCCATAACTTCATCCACCTAATATTTCGCTGAAGAAACCAGGCTGAGTGTAGAACACAGCTCTAGACTAGCTACAAAAACTACTAGTGGAAGTCAAATTGCAAGTTAAGATTACCACTTTTGAAAACAAACCAGGAAGATTAACTGATATCTTCAAATCTAAGACTGTTATTGTGAGCAACCAAACTTGCTAGTCAGTGCAACTGTCACTCTGAAAACATAACCATGTAAGCTGACATTGTGTAATAGTACCGCAGTGCTCAATTATCTGAAAACCTGTTACTTTCCAGATTGAGTTCATGAAAAATCACTACTATCTGACTTGAGTTTGGATAAGAAACAAAATGCATCAAGACAACTAAACTGTGTTTTAGTAATATGTAAACTAAAGCTCAACTGCTACATCAGTTAATAGAGTGAATGGGTTCCATGCTAGCAAATTTGGGAACCAAGATTAGCATCAAATTCTTGTTATATGTAAAATATAATCCAAACAAACAAGTCAAGATGGCCACATGATGCAAATGCCACGCGGCACTAGGAAAAAAACAAGGGTTTAATTAGTGAAATGGCAGCAACACTACAAAAAAAATGTTAATTGAATACACAGCAGATGCCCATAAACATATATTACGAGGCACAAGAGATAGGGTAGTTTACCAACAAACATTTCCATTTCGAACCATGCCACATAGGGTCTGTATCACCACTTCCAGTAATTATCCCGGTGTACCTGTAAAATTATAAGTTATCACATATGCATCACCAATCTAGAATGCAGTTCAGTCCATTCTAGTACAAGTGTAGAACTATTGTCCATCTACCTTCTTTCAGTAGCATCTTCACTTTCATATCTCATTTTGAACCTCAGCCCAACAGAAAATGGTTGGCTGAGGCTTTTCATGAACTTCCAGTAGGGTACAATGAATTCGGACTGACTTAACCTGTCAATATTTCAGAAGAGAGCTTTGAAATAAGACACTGTTTTGTTGCAAGAACAGAAGTAGGCGCTAGCTCTGTAAAGCATCAAATGCAAAACGACTACATTGATAAATATATGAAACGAGACTATTGATTCTGTTCATATAATCTTTTGTTTTAAAAAGAACAGTTACAACCTACAAATACAACTTTCCAAGCTATTGCAACAGCGCCTAACTTCGAATTTCAGCAAGACTACAAATGCAACCAGATAAAACCATGTGATTGCACATGCTGAGCTGGCATAATGTATGACTATCAACAAATAGCTCAAACAAGCAGTAAATAATGGGCACAATTTAAGGCTGCCACCAGCCAACAGCAAGAAAGTTCTAGAACATCAGCTGTCGGGAGCATTAACAAAATAACTCGAGGTTCTTCATTACCTGGGATTGTAGTATATGTTGAACACACTTTCTGTAGCCACTGCATGTGCAACATTGGCAAGTGTACCAAGATTAGAACACTGGTTGTAAAGTGCTGGAAAAGCAGACCCATTTTTAAGCTGAGCTGCACGGCGAACTCCCAGTCTTAGCTCCCCATCATCACCTCTGCAGATTGATTAAGAATCTTTAGAAAAGATCGTCAACATGTGATAATTATCTGAATGATCGAGTGGCCTACCGCAAAAATAGTACGGCATCCCCAGAAACAAGCTTCTTCTTGTTAACAAATGCACTCCAACCTGTGGTTAAAAGGTGCCGACGTGGCTGGCCTGTAGCATATTCAGATGTAGATCTATCAGAAATCAAGGACCACTTAACTTGTTATGTTTGTCCTTTGCAATCCTCAAGAAGGGACCAGACATTACAATACAAAGGTTTTTAAGAAAGAAGAAAAAATGTAAAATACAGTTAAACATGATTGATTAACTAACAATGTCGGAGCTATGGAGAAACATAATGTAGCCTAGCCAACACATATTAGAGTGTTTGGAGAATCAACACATTGCATACAATCATATCATGTCAGCCCAGTCATGATTTAGCATCATAAAACAGGTGGATATGCAAAAAGTACAGATGTCGATCATAACCGCAAAGTGCAAGTTCTCGGTGAGCTCGGTTGATGCATGTGTGTATTCACAAGCTATTACTGCTCTATCTGAACAAGACGCGCTGGTCGTCAGAAACAACTAAAGCACAAATCCAGTACTAATATTCAATCCCCATTGAATCATTCAGGACGCAGAGGCTTCCAGCCAGGGGAAGTGCATGCACAGTACAGAAGCCTAATGAAGATGGAATGCATGCATGGCACAGCTGCGTAGAGCATCTCAGTCATCAAAACAGGTTAAAAAAAAACTTGTTCTCAAAGTCCATGTTTTTTTTCTGCTCTACCTCGGTAAATATGGCGGAACCTCCATTCAGTGCTGTGCAAATCCTTGGCAACAAGCTCCTGCGACGGCCGCTGCTGGCTGTAATCCTGCAAGGTTCCCAATCCGAAGGATTTCATCAGCTAAACAAACCCCCAAAAAAAGATAAAATCTTTACTTCAAAAAAGGAAGCTTTTCTTTTTCTTTCTCCAATATACACCGACCAGTGGAGGGAAGCAGTCCTCGGCGGCGCGGCGCGGCACGGAGAAGCCGCCGTGCGTGCTGGTGTCGGACGCCGTGAGCGTCTTGCAGAACATGTGCGGCATCCGCGCGAACCGCTGCTTCATGCCGTCCCCGTCCTCGCCCTCGCCGTCGTCCGCCCGCCTCGCCACCTCCTTCAATCCCCGGAAGAGAAGAGAAGAAAACTCAGGTCAAAAAACAAAAAAAAAAAACGGAATCATCAAACCAAATGCTCCAACTGCTTCGCGCAGGCGGGCGCGCACCTCCTTCTCCGGGACAAGCGAGAGCTGCGCGTACACCTCGTCGGTCGCCGCGTCCGCCTGCAGAGAAGAACACAAAGCCAATCAATCCCCTCGCGCCGCCGTGAAGACGAGAACACGTACGATACGAGCATTGAGAAGGGACGCACGAGGAGGGTGACGTCGACGACGCGGCAGAAGACGTGCGGCGGCACGGCGGCCGCGGCCGCCGCCGCCGCGGGCGCGTCGCCGAGGTGCTCGAGATGCCCCTGCGGCAGGTACACGACGACGCCCCCTTTCCTCGGCAGCGGCGCCACGGGCCCGGCGCAGGCGTGCCACAGCTCGAGGCACACCGCGCCCGCCCTCGCCGGAGCCGGAGACGAGCCGTTCGCCGCCACCTCCTCCGCCGCCTCCTCCTCGTCCTCCTCGACGGTGTTGAGGTCGATCCCGGTCATGGCTGGCGGCAGCGACAGCGAGGTCAGGCGAGGCGCGAAGCACAAGAGCAGCGGAGCAGGCGAGGGAGAGGGGGAGACAAGTGATAAATGAAGCGGGTGGGGGTGGTGTCCGTAGGTTGCTACTACTAGGAGAGGAGGAGGAGGAGGAGGAGAAGTGGAGCAGCGGGCGGTGGTGGGGTGGGGTGACACATCGTGGTAATGGCCATGAATGAGGGGGAAGCCGAGCTAAGCTACGCGAAGCTATTGCCCAAAAGAAGCAGAGGAGCCCGGGGCCTCGTCTTTTTTGCTTATGCCCACATATATTAGCCAAAATTTAAATTTTTAACCTTAAATTTATAGCTGGTTTTAAAATTTTTTTATTAAAGTCTATTTTTCATTATGTACTTTTAGATTTTATAAGAACACGTATATAGAAATTTTATTTATAAATTACTTTTCATTTATAAATATGTCGTTTCGCTTATTCTAGGTATACCGGATCGAAATCCGCTTACGACCGATATCATCGAATTTTGTGAAATCCAATCAAAAACTTCCTCCAAACTTTTAACTTTCCATTACATCACATCACATCCAAAAATTTTCCTACTCACATAAATTTTCAACTTTTTTTTCAAACTATCAATTTTTCTTAAATTTCTTCCCAATTTCAGAAACTAAACACAGCCAAAGTTTAACTTGATCGAAAAACGGAATGATCTGGTTTTCAACCCGGTTCAAGAAAACTGGATTTCGCGAAATTCAAATCGGATTTCACTGGAATTGTGAACCCAGTATAACTGCTACTGGCCGTGCCAGTTGAAATCAATACTTCTACTTCTACTCGTAGTACAACCGTACAAGGAGTACTTGCTACTATACCTGTATTTTTTTTACTCTACTGGTGGTGTCACGGGGAAGTAAAAAAAGGGGATATGAGGGCGTGGGGGAATAAAGAAATGGGGGAAAGGTGAAAAAGAGAGCGCAAGAGGCGGGAGACGCGCACAGTGGTGGTGCAGAGCAGACAGCTCTGCGTCTGCGGCTGCGGGCAGAGGTGGGAGGAGAGGACATGGTGATGGAGAGGCGTCAGGAAATATGGGGTGGACGCGGACACGGCAGTAAACAGCTAAAAACAGGTGAGCTTGAAACACAGGTGGGGATCATTACATTGCCGTACTTTGTGATTATGTTATGTGTTCGTTTGGCTGACAGTAAACGAGAGAGAGAAGGAATTAATCTAGTATATCCCACGTGTCAGTAGCTCAAAGAAATCCTACACATACGAAAGCAATTAGTATCACCCTATAGTTGTACGGACTCATGCCTGATTCTTCATGTTTTAGGCATGCGTCTGTTTCTTTTACACAATTTTCTTTTCCTTAGTTATGTAGACGTCGAAAATGATATTAGAATAATTGTGTTGTTTTAATATAATTGTGTAACATTAATAATGTTTTCTTTATTTAAATAAATGCAAATAGCAAAGTATAGTTACAGCGTATTAGAGCAAGATTAATAGTATACCCAACTAGTAGCTCCAAATTACTTATAGTCAATTTAATAGCTAATTTATACAATATTTAGTTATAAACATATAGTACACTATTAATATATGGTCCTACTTGTCACACGCACATTGTGTCTTGGAGTCCCTACTGCAGCTGGCTATAGGTCTGTAGCCCACTACTCATATCTCTTCTCTTTTAGAGCAGGTACAATAGCAGACTTTATGCCATATGTAAATATATTTTAAGTAGATAAAAGAGGAGAGGTAAGAGCAACAGGCTATAGATTTGTAGCTAGCTGCAGCACGGATTTCAAGACGCATGTGTGTATGATAGGTGGGACCAGATATTGATTGTGTAGTATATGTTTATATGTAACTATTGTATGAATTGACTATTAAGTTGATTATAGATGATTTGAAGCTAGCAGTTGGCTATACTATAAAACTTGCTCTTATTTTCTCCATACGTGTTTATAGCTGGCTTATAGTATGCTATTGTACCTGCTATTATAATATCAGGTACGATTGCTTGGTTAGGGAGAAATATTTGTTTTCACTAGACTCAAGACCATTCGGATGTTATGATTTCCTCAATACCAAGAAAAGGGAAACTGCATACGAGCACGTGGAATAGCACTCTATAAACCAGCTATAAACATATTTTAAGAAAATAAAAAAGAGAAAAGAGCAGTAGGGTACATATTTGTAGCCAGCTGCAGCACGGACTCTAAAACACAATGTGAGTATGATAGGTGGGACCGGATATTAATATGTTTATAGGTAACTATTGTATATGAATTGGCTATTAAATTGACTATAGATAATTTAAAGTTAGTAATTAGCTATACTATTAAACTTGCTCTACTAGGGATTACTGTGAGTAGACTGGGATTTGTGCCGACCAACCTACGAAAAATTCTAGGAGTGCTACACATACAATTAGAGAAGGTCCTGCCTTAGAGCAAGTTTAATAATATAGCCAACTATTTGCTTCAATTCATTTATAACCAATTTAATAGCTTATTCATACAATAGTTACATACTACATTATTATTACCTGGTTCCACCTGTCATACACACATCGCGTCTTAAAGTCCGTGCTATAGCTGGCTACAAATCTGTAGCCCACTACTCTTCTCTCTCCTCATTTATCTTTTTAAAATATATTTGCAGCTAGCTTATAACCCGCTATTGTACCTGCTCTTATCATTGACCACCGTTTTGCCGTTTTGGCCAGATCAAACTGGTGTGGTCCGATCAACCGACGTGGCACGACGGCTGGGGCAGCGCAATGATTCTACCGGTGATAAATCCACATTTAAAAAAATCAGAAATGGAAAAAAGTGAAACTTATCAAAAGCAGCAAATCTCAAGTACAAGCACCTTTTCTTCAGATAGTAAAATCATGAGTTCGACCACGAAGATGGGTGCCCAATATTTTCCCAAAAATGAAACCGTCGAGCTTACCGATCACTGTTTCTCATCGATCTGTAGTAGTACTCCTTAGTTTTGCTCTGCTTGAATTCCTGATTAGTGCCATTTCTGCAACCTCCGTTTCTTCTCAAATCTGTAGCCGTTACGACTACTCGCTGTCGACGTTAAATTTAAACGTGTCAAGGACATTGCCACCGATCAGCTCATTATCATTCATCTCCCCTGTAGCCATTTCGCCGTGTCGCTGTCGTCGCCCGTGTCCGTGCCCCCCGTTGCCGTCACGGCTGGAGACGATGGATGGAGAGCGAGGTTTTTTCTCGGTTTTTCCCCGCGCTGCCGATGGATGGATTTTTGCCGACGACGTGTGACGCGTGAGGGGGGTTAATATCTGGTGCGTTGGCACGCCACCTCGCGCATTATTGGCGCGGTCGGGATGGGGGTGGTGGTGGTGGTCCATGCGTAGAGTTGCATCGCCGGCCGGGGTCCCCCAAATTACACCGGTTTTAAGGCCGGGGATTCGATTTGTCGTGTTTTTATTGCGCCCGTATGCTGCCCCCCGTATACGTCGCCGGTGTTCCCTTACCCGGTTGAATACACGCAACTGAAACACAGTTAATGAATTGGAGTATGTACGTTCCTGTGTACTCCACGATGCTGGCTGTGGCTGGGCTCTGATGAGACCGTTACAGTGTGGAGTACTCCATTTACTAACCTTTTTTAAAAGTACTATACAAACGCAGATGATCACGACACAACACGCATATACTATACTCGTCCTATAAATACACACGTATTATATTTCTATAGGCATCTCGAGAAAACTAGGTTAAAATTATCATGGACACTTTGTTGTCGAGGGATACGTCGTCTACAATTGAAATAATAATTAGCCGTAAATACAAGTATCTATGGGCTGTTTTCGATTAGCACCAAAACGTGCCCTACCAATATTTGGGTAGTTTGAACAGTGTTAATGAAGGTTTTGGTTTGAAGCCAAATCATTGGCATTTCCAATGTCCAATTTGATATTTTTCTATATTCTACTTAAAGTTTGGTTCTAAATTGGCCTCCAACCAAATACAACTCTACCCTACTAAAAAATTAGGTGGTGCCAAAATTTACGTAGGTTTCGACACTACCAATATTTTAGTAGGGTATTAAATCTAACAAGCACTATATCAAGGGTATGACTTGAAGTTGAACATGAGTGCATTGGTTATATCACTAGAAACATAATGAGGTGAGCTACTATAATCATGTACTGTGGGAGTAGATTAGTGAGGAGCGGGTATTGGTCCAGAAAACAGGGGCGTATCAGGGTGTGTGGTGCAAAAAGGCCGGCCCTTAGAGTAGGAACAAAAAATTGATGGCTCCCCATGCTTGGCAACAAGACTGTTGATGCAGCTGTGCTCCGTGCTGCTGCTGCCAAATTTGATGGTGCTGTCGCTGCCACAGCTCCGAGAGAGAGGCCAGTGCGGAAAGAAAAGAACCAAAAGCAGCTCACAGTCACCACGCCAGATATACCCATGCACACACATCCACCCATGGACTACTACTACTACTGGTAGCAGCTCTCATCTCCACGCTCACAGCCACAGGTCTGTACTCTGTAGGACTACAGCTGCGTGTCCCCCTCGATCATCTACTCCAACGCACGAGAGGAGATAAGGCCGCGTACAGAAAACATGTTGAAACACGGATAAATTTTGCTGTGCAAGAGATGGAAAAGATCTCGTGCTGTTGTTGCCGAATCGAATCCGTTGGTACTTGGTACAATGGTACGCCGGTCACTAACCTAACCTACCCCGTACTGTACACTTCACATGCGTTAATAGTTGATCAGTGGATGTTAATAGTGAAATTTGGTAAGACCGGAGTAGTCATCGGTTTAGAGTCAGTATCGGCTTCGAAGTCCTGAGATTAGCCGATGAGAGTTGTCAAGTCGTCATTTATCGGATTCTTGCTATATTCGGTTAAGGAAATTGATCTACTAAAGGAAGCTTATCCAGAAGAGACCGAGTTTAAAGAGAATACGGCATGGTAAGTTATCTATTAATTAGGAATAGTTTGTTAGTTTCCTTGTATCTTTAGGAAAGTGTGTTTAGTGTCCTATAAGGACTTTATCTTTTCCTTTTATCCTTAGGAAGCTCTCTTTCTTGTCCGACAAGGACTTGTATCAACCCATGTGTATAAATATGTACACCCGGGGTCTATGTAATCTATCCTCACGATCAATACAATTTGGCGCATCGCCACCCTTTTATTTCTACTTTTGTTTTTACGTTTCGGCGGAACTTGGCACCCGACGCGGGGCTGCATCGTCTTCGATCTAGGGCGAAG